TTGTATCCCAAGGATAAAGCCTACTTGAATGTGATGGATAAGCTTTTTGATGTGCTGCTGGACTTGATTTGACAGTATTTTGTTGAGGATTTTTGCATCAATATTCATCAAGGATATTGGTCTTTTTTTTTTTTCTTTTCCTGTTTTGTCTCTGCCAGGTTTTGGTATCAGGATGATGCTCACTTCATAGAATGACTTAGGGAGGGGTCCGTCCTTTCCATTTTCGGGAATAATTTCAGTAGGAAGGTTATCAACTTTCAAGTGTTCTTTGTATATCTGATAGAGTTCAACTTCTGAATCAATCTGGTTCTGGTTCTGGGCTTTTTTTTTTTTTGTAGGCTATTTATTACTGCTTGAATTTGAAGCTCACTGTTGGTCTGTTCAAGGATCCAATTTCTTCCTGTCTCAGTCTTGGGAGGGTGTATATATCCAAAAATTTTCCCATTTCATCTAGATTTTCTAATGTGTGTGCACGAAAAGTTGTTCATAATATTCTCTGATGGTTATCTGCATTTCTGTGAGGTCAGAGTAATATCCTCTTTGTAGTTTATAATTGTGTTTATTTAGATCTTCTCTCTTTTGTTCTTTATTAGTCTTACTAGCAGTCTTTCTAATTTATATTTTAAAAAATCCTGGATTCATTGATCTTTTGAAAAGGTTTTTATGTCTCAGTCTGTCCCCTTCAATTGAGTCCTGATTTTTATTATTTCATGTCTTCTGCTGGCTTTGTTTTGTTCTTGCTTCTCTAGTTCTTCTAGTTGCGATGTTAGGTTGTTAATTTGAGATCTTTCTAACTTTTTCATGTTAGCACTATAATTTTCCTCTTAAGACCGTCTTAGCTGTGTCCCAGAGATTCTGGTTTGTTGTATCTTTGTTCTCATTAGTTTCAAATAACTTCTTGGTTTCTACTTTAATTATTTCTTAAAAATCTTAAGAAATGTGTTTAAAATTTCTTAAAAATTTAATTATTTCTTAAAAATTATTTCTTAAAAAAATTTGGTTATTCAGTTCGCATGTAATTGGATGGTTTTGAAGAATTTTCTTAGTCTTGATTCCTAATTTTATTGTGCTGTGGTCTGAAAGAATAGTTATTATGATTTCAGTTCTTTTATACTTTCTGAGGAGTGTTTTGTGTCTGACTATGTGATTGATTTTAGAGTATGTGCCATGAGGTGATGAGGACATAGAGTCTGTTGTTTTTGGTTGGAGAGTTCTGCAGATTTCTATCAGGTCCATTGGATCCAGTACTGGATTCAGTTCTTCAATATATTCATTAATTTTCTGCCTTGATAATCTGTCTAATACTGTCAGTAGGGCGTGAAGTCTCCCACTGTTATTGTGTTGGATTCTAAGTCTCTTTGAAAGTCTCTAAGAACTTGCTTTATGAATCTGGGTACTCCTCTGTTGGGTGTGTATATATTTAGGATAGTTAGGTCTTCTTGTTGAACTCTTTACCATTATGTAATGTCCTTCTTTGTCTTTTTAAATCTTTGTTGGTTTAAAATCTTTTTTGTCTGAAATTAGGATTGCAACTCTGATTTTTTTTCTGTCTTCCATTTACTTGGTAGATTTTTCTCCATTCCTTTATTTTGAGCCTGTGGATGTCATTGTATGTAAGATAGGTCTCTGGAAGACAGGTTGCCAATGTCTCTTGCTTCTTTATCTAGCCTGCCATTTTGTGCCTTTTAATTAGGACATTTAGCCTGTTTACATTCAAGGTTAATATTGATATGTGTGGATTTGATACTGCCTTCATGATATGAGGTGATTATTATACAGAGTCTTTTGTGTAGTTGCTTTATAGTATCACTGGTCTGTGTACTTAAAGTGTGTGTGTATATGTGTTTAGTGAATGGTAATGATCTTTCTTTTCATATTTAGAGCTTCCTTTAGGAGCTCTTTTAAGTCATGTCTGGTGATAAATTCCCTTGGCAATTGCTTGTCTGAAAAGGATCTTATTTCTCCTTCACTTATTAAGCTTAATTTGGCCAGATATGAAATGCTGGGTTGGAATTTCTTTGCTTTAAGAATGTCAAATGGCTGGGCATGGTGGCTCATGCCTATAATCCCAGCACTTTGGGAGGCTGAGGTGGGTGGATCACCTGAGATCAGGAGTTCAGGACCAGCCTGACAAACATGGTGAAATCCTGTCTTTATTAATAATGCAAAAATTAGCCAGGCATAGTGGCATGTGCCTGTAATCCTGTAATCCCAGCCACTCAGGAGACTGAGGCAGCATAATTGCTGGAACCTGGGAGGCAGAGGTTGTAGTTAGCTGAGACTGCACCACTGCACTTCAGCCTGGGTGACACAGCAAGACTCTGTCTCAATAAATAAACAAATAAATAAAATAAAGAATGTTTAATATTGGCCCTCAATTCGTTCTGGCTTGTAGGATTTCTGCTGAGTGGTCCCCTGTTAGCCTTATGGACTTCCTTTTGTTAACTTACCTGATCTTTCTCTCTAGCTGCCTTCATAGTTTTTTCTTTGATTTCAACTGTAAAGAATCTGATGACTGTGTGTCTTGGGGATCATCTTCTTGTGAATTATCTTACTGAAGTTATCTGCATTTCCCGAATTTGAATGTTGGCCTATCTAGCTAGGTTGGAGAAGTTCTCATGGATGATATCCTAAAATATGTTTTCCAAGTTGCATACACTCTCCCCATCTCCTTCAGGGACACCAATGAGTTGTATATTTTGTCTCTTCACAGGGTCTCATATATCTCAGAGATTTTGTTCATTCCCTTTTATTTTTTTCTCTGTTCTTGTCTAGCTGTCTTATTTCAGAAAACCAGTCTTCAAGCTCTGAGTTTCTTTCCTCAGCTTGGTCTATTCTGCTCTTAATCCTTGTGATTGCATTATAAAATTCTTTTAGCATGTTTTTAGCTCTATCAGGTTGGTTACATCCTTTTCTATACTGGCCATTTTGTCTGTCAGCTCCTGTATCATTTTATTGTGATTTGTATCTTCCTTGGATTGAGTTTCAGTGTATTCCTACATCTCAATGATGTTCATTCGTATGCATATTCTGAATTTTATTTCCATCATTTGAGCCATCTCATCCTGGTTCACAATTTTTGCTGGAGAGGTGGTGCCGTCTTTTGGAGGAAAGAAGGCACCCTGGCTTTTTGAGTTGTCAGAGTTCTTGAACTGGTTCCTTCTTATCTTTGTGGGCTGATGTTTCTTTATTCTTTGACATTGCTGACATTTTGATTTTTTTTTTTTTACTTTTACCCTATTTGATGATTTTGAGTGTTTGATTACACTATAAGGTAGGTTCAGCCAACTGACTTTATTTCTGGAATATTTTAGGGGACCAACACTCAGCTCCCAACTCCTGGACTGTGTGCTGTAATTCTGGGGGACTTTTATCAGCTCCAAACTTTGCTCTCTGTCTCCTTGAGGTTAGGAATCCATTGTGCTGGGAGTGATTAGGTGCTCCCAGACCACTGTTCACTGCACTCCAACGGTTGGTGTTAGCAAAAGTGTTTTATAGCGCAGTGGCAGTGGGATCCATCCTCCTTTACACATGCCAGCAGCAGTGGCAGTGTGGTGGGGTGTACACTCGTTGGCTGCAGCAGGGTGCTAGCGGGTACCAGGGTGCCTGCCTCCATGCATGCAGTTACCAAAGTAGTCGAGGCAGCATGGCTCACTGGGCAGGGCAGGGGATCCCTGCTGGCAACTGCGTCCATGTCTGTGCTGTTGGTGGTAATCATATAGAGATGGGGCACTGGTGGCCATAGGTCGGTGTGTGTTCCTCATGTGCTGCAGGAAGTGTTGGTAACTCAGTGAGGGGGTTGGTCGGCTGTTCTCTGTGCCTCGTATTACTCCCATACCAGTGTTGGTAAGGGTGGGGCACCGGCAGGTGGGGAGCTGGCTGGCTTTTGCCTGCCAAGGCTTTGACTATAATGGTGGTCCAATATGGGATGAGGGTATGGGGGCAGAGTGCAGTGCTGGTGGGGCAAGAAAGGTTACCTCCCAGGCCCCTCGTTTCTAACCTCCACAAACACTGCTGGCAAAGCTATGTGGGCAGTGGCCATGGGGAGAGAACCAGCGGGCTGGTGGATGACATGGGGGCAGCCCCACTGAAGCTCCTTACCAGTCAGGCATAGTCTGCCTGTGAAAGAACTATGATGTGGGCCCCCATAGCACCTGAGGCTGCACTGTAAGCAGGTGTGGCCAGGCCGGGGCTCCAGGATAGGGCAGCAGACCAATGGATGCTTAGATTGGACCAGCCCTATCTGATGGGCAAGAGCACCCTGCAGAGTTTGTGTCCCACAGTTCCGCTAGGGCTAAAGTCTTCTATGGGAACAAGTCAAACCTGAGGGATGGGCATTCCTGGCTGTGTTCCTCTATAGAGACTCCCACAACAAACCCTCTGGGCTCTACATCAGCTTACATACTGCACCTACCACTTCTCTAGGCAACTCTCCCTGCCAACTGAGTGTGTGATGGTCAAGGGGTATCCAGCTGAGATTCCAGAAGCCCTTGGCGAGAAGAGCTTGCTCCTTGCCAGTCCAACTCAGGGTCAGGAACAAGTCCAGGTGCAAAGTAGCCCTGTGCAGGTTCCCAGCTTTCTGTCCCCAGCCGAACTGCTGTGTCAAATGTAGTTCTTTGAAAGGAAAAATACGTTTGTCAAAAATTAGGGGCATCTATTTGAAATGTGGTTGACCATATATGTAGTTCTGGAGAAAGATGAGGAAGCCGTAGTCACTTACATTAAGAAGTACACAATTACAGACACATTAACCACTTTGGTAAAGTGTGAGAGGATACATGTGACACTAGGCGTAGAAGAGAAATGCATAGGGAACCTGAAGAAAGAAAACTTATTTCTCTGTGAGGCATGTTATAGAGGGTGACATGAGAAATTACTTGGGAGAATTATATAGTAGAAATATTTTGTGAGAGGAATTCATGATTGAAGACATTATGCAATTCAAAATTTGTGTAATTAAAAACTAATTTTAAAGGTTGGCCGGTGTTATTACCTACAAGTTAAAGTGGCATTGGTAACTGCAACACTGTAAACAAATTTTATTATTCATTTCTGATGATTTCGAAATGATTTAATTATTGACAAAATATTTATTTTGGGAGATTCATATCATTTTAAATTTTGAGTAAAAAACGATATTTAAATAATGTTTCCTATTATACTCTATGAAGTATGAACAACCGGAAGTAGCTCAATTGTGCCTGTGTTGTAGGCAACAAGATTTTACCAACAAGAATAGGACAGGTAGAAGATTTTTTGTAATACCTATAGATGCAGCATTGCAAGGTGTACTTCAAAGAATTATTAAAAAATAATATCTTTTATATACTATAGATATCTGACTGAAAGGTGCTATAATATAACTCTTAGTGGTAATGTGAGAGCCATTTTCGTGTCTATAAAAATGATTTGAGGCCTGTAAAATCAAAAGCTGAATACTGCCTGAATTTTTTAGGTGAGGCCTAATCATTCTAAATTATCTAAATTCCCTCAAAACTAGGACTAGAAGATTTAACAGAAAAAGAAAATCCTATGAATAGGCTGGTACTTGGTAAGACAAGGGCATGACGGTAAAGTTAAAATTTGTTCTGAATGATGTTTTGCTCCCTCTGGGCAGTGTCCTGAATGCTTCATGAAGAGTAAGTGTCTGAAAAGAAGGGAAGTCCTGTACTGGAATGCACACCAGCTAAATTAATTTATTTCCTTTTGCTTATAACTTATAGATTCCACAGGACATACATTTTTAGGCAGTAGCTCATTTTGAATTGTTATAATATTGAATAATTTGCCCTTCATGGAGCGTGTCTTGGAGTTTTATTCCATGCCTTTTGTTAAACTTGTTCTTTTTTGGTTCACACTAAATTAGCCAAAACCCTTATTAGAAAGCAACAAGAAATTAGGTTAGCCCAGGAGCAAAAGTACTTATAGATTATTTCGAGAAAAATAATTCAGGCTTGTTTCATACGATTGACAGAGGCAAATACAGTGAAATTTTTTTTAGCTGCACAAAATTTAGGGCATCTCAGAGAAAGCAAAATCTTTCGTTTTCATAATATTCTGTATGTTAATAATTTCAGTGTCAAAAATTGTTATTCATCACTTTATTTAAATGACTATGATTGTTAAAAATGCTAAAAATGTAAGCTCATGGACAAAACATGGGAATTGTATCACTTGTTCTTTTTTAAGATTGCTTCTGTCAGCTCTTGGCACATCAGCTGGGGAAAATAAAGAAAAAACATCGTTTCCTCAGTTTTGATTGTGAGCTTGGAGAAGTTACAAAAGTATGCATCTAAGTAATATTTTTATAGTCACTTGTTTTCTATTTGTAGTCTGCTGCCATTTAAAAAATGATTGTATCATACTTTAAATTTAAAATGTATTGGTAATATGAAGGCTACCTTAAGGATGTATTTGCTTAATTCTCTATAGTCTCCATGGATGCTAGGTGTCTTAGTTTGGGCTGCTATAATATGTATAGGTGTTCCTCCATTTACAATGTGGTTACAACCCATTAGACCCTTTGCAAGTTGAAATGTCGCAAGTTGAAAATGCATTTAATACACTTAGTCTACTAAACATCATAGCTTAGGCTAGCCTACCTTAAACGTGCTCAGAACACTTACATTAGCTTACAATTGGGCAAAACCATTTGGTAACACCATACACCATAGGGTATTTGTCATTTACCCAGTGACACCGTGGCTGAATGGGAGCTGGGGCTCACTCTCACCGTCCAGAACTGCAAGAGAGTATTGTGCTTGCATATTGCTAACCCAGGAAAAGATCAAAATTCAGATTTCAAAGTACAGTTTCTAATTAATGCATGTTGTTTTCAACAATCTTAAAGTTTAAAAAAATCAACCATTGTATAAGTCAGGAACCACCTGTACAATGAAGCAAAGAAAGTTTCTGAAACTAGGAATTAGCCTCACCACTTTGTATTTTGTTTCAGTGACTCCTGTAGTTATTTCCTTCAAGAAATATGTCCCCTAAACCTATATTGTTCAGAATTATTATTTTAACATAGTCACATAGAACACATAAGGTAGTCATTTCAAAGAAAAAGATATTTTTCAAGTTCAAGGGAAGGAAAAAGTTAAACAAAAAGCACTATGATTTTTGATGAGCACTTTCTCAGAGACCTGGGCAAAGTAGGAGAACATTATGTGATGCCAGCTAAGAATATCAAGTTCTATATGGTTTAAACCAGAGTAATGCTGGGATGTTTACCTCAGCTGCCAGAGAAAAAGTCTATAGTGGGCTGCACCCTGTGAAATCATCTGCTCCAACATGAATTTTGGTCTCTAGACTCATGTTATTTAATTCTTCAGAGCAGCCTCTACCTTGGTAACAGGTGTCTGGGATTAGAAGTAAAACCTCAGCTGCAGTGATGTCTCACATGCATGCTGCTTAGAACTCATATGAGATGCTGGGACTTGCCTATTGGAAGGGAGGAATAAGATGCCTCTCAGAGCAGCTGGCATTGTGGACATTCTTCCCATAGAAGGAACAGGAAAAAATACACTTCTATCTTGAACACATACAACTTGCTAACACAAGAACTCTTCAGGGAGTTAGGCAAGTCTGTCAAGTTTGTTTCTTCAGTATTCTCTTATTAAGTTGACTACTGTATATCATTAAAGTAAGAAAAGCTTATCATGAAAATGATTAACATTTAGGTATAATATTTGAATATATATTTTCTATTGGTAAGTAATTATGTATTATATCTACACTAGAATTAATAATTAAAAATTAAAACCTATCCTATTTGAAAATTACAGATTCTGTTAGAAGCATCAAATTAAAAAATCTTAAATTTGGGTGGTTCAGGTTAGTAAATATGTAATTGCTTTTCATGTAAATGGTGTTCATCAAAGAAAAGGAAAGGTCTCTGTGTATATATGTTCAATGATGTATGTACTTTCGTGAAGCCACTGCAAGACTAGCACTTTTAATTAAAGAAAAAAAAAATCCAGGGTTTATGTGGTTCAAGACAGAGAAAAAAATAAAACTTCTGCAGTCATCTGGGAAAGAAGGTTTAAGGAGGAAATGCAAGCTTATGTTCTATATGTAGCAAGAAGCTTTGTTAAATGTTGACGTGTAAAATCTACTCATGATTTTTTTTTTTTTGGAACTTACAATTAGAAAAGACTTTAGCAGTACTGTGGTCCAAACAGTTTACTTTCAACAGTCCCAGAAATTCTAAGTGACTAGTTGTGTGAATTGGAAATGAATTCTTAGCCACTATGGGCTTCAGTGTTTCACACTCAAAAAAAATGTGTTCTGTAAGTTTATCTCTAACCATAAAATTCAAGGCTATTTCCTTAATTTTAGTCTAATATTTGTAACTATTCACTCTAAAGAAATTTCATTACCTGTAATAAATATCTTCCATTAATTTTGTGTCAGTGTATGTGTGTCTGTGTTTATTTGTGTACATTTATCTGGCAAACAGTTGCCAGGTAGATTTAGTAAAAGACAAATACGGGTTCAAGAAAATGGCCACAATGAGCAATTTTTTAAATGAAATTATAGGAAGTTTAGAAGTTGCTGAATGGTACAAAAATAATATAAAAATACTAGCTATACCTCACACTCAGGTTTAACAGTTGTTAACTTCATGCCATATTTGTTTCAAGAATATATATAAAATTTAGAAATAAAATATTATAATTCAGTCTGGCTTCGAACCTCTCTTTGATCTTATTTACTTTTCCCCTTTTTCATAGGTAACCGCCATTCTAACTACTCTTATATGTGCCGTTATATGTGCCTATGTTTTTAAACCTTACCACTTATGGGGAATATCATTAAAACAATGCATAATACTGTTTGATTTGTACTAAAAATACACATAAATTATGTTTTATTGACTTTTCTTTACACACTAATTTTCTACTGGCTAATATATTTTTGAAATTTACCCATGTAGATATCTTTAACTTGATGCACTTTATTATAAAATGTATTCATTCATCCCTAGATGGTCAGTTAATTTCACTAAGATAAATAATGTTAAGGTGAACCTACTTGTATTTGTATATGATTAATTGTTGGGTTGCAAGAAATTACTAATGATTTACAAATCTCCAATATGAGAGTATCAAAATAAGTGTCCTCAGCAACATCATTAAGTGTGTGGAAGTTTCAGTTTTTCTATATTACCACCAACATTTTGGTTTAACACATTTTAAAATGTTTGCTTGGTTTGAGGTAGCATTGTTTAAATTTTCACTTCTCTGGTAATAAAGCATTTTTCCATAAGTATTGGCTATTCAGGTTTCTTCTTCTGTTAGTTGCCTATGCATATCCTTTATACCTTTTCCTTTTAGGTTTTTGTTTGGTAGAGGTGTCTTCTTCTTGTTGATTGGTAAGAAATTATTTTTTTAGGCACTAATCTTTGCCAATTATGGGTGTGGCACATCTCTTCACTGTCTTTATACCTTGTGTATTTCACTTTAAAATAATATAATCTTTGTTTTCTATAGAAGTTTTTTTAATGCTAGTTTAAATATAGTTTATAGGTTTAATTTAAATATAAATCTTTTACATTATTATTTTTTCTGTCTTGTTTAAGAAATCCTTCCCTATTCAGACACCATAAAGCTATTTTATATTTCCTCTAAAAATTAGCTTGTCTTTTAAGATTTTTCAAATATACCTAAAATTATTTTCTGTCATGTTGATACACAGACAGATAGAGTAGAGATGAGCAAAAAAGTGTGTAGGCCTGTGATAACAGTGTTAGTGAAGATGCAGAGGTAAGAGAAGGCATGGCTAGTGCAAGGAAATGAAAAAAAAAACACACACACAGTTGTTGAGTCATGGGTTTATGTCATTGGATGGGTGGAAAGGGAAAAAAGTAAGTAGGTAAAGCCAGATGGGTCTCATTATATGAGGTCTTAAATCCATTTAAAGAGTTTGTTTTTTTATATTGAGATTAGTAGGAAACAGTTGCAAGGTGTTAGCAGAGAATAGCATCATCAAAAATCTATTCATGTTAACAATGATTACCTGTAATGTGGAGAATGACTGGAAGAGGTGGGATGAGTCAGGGAAAATGAGGAAGGAATCATGTAATAATCCAAGATCAAGTCAATGACAACTGAGTCTAGTATAGAGTCCAGTCCCTGTACTACACATCTCCAGAGGTAAATTTAGTAATGTAACTAGATTACCTGTAATGTCAATCATAATAGCTTTGGCTATCAAGTCTATATAAATTAATGATGATGAAAAAACACTTAAAAGTTGTGAAGAGAATATTTCATCTGGGACCCATCAAGGCACTTTAAGAAATGTCTCATAATTCATTGAGGAACACAATGTCATGAACATAGGAACAGTTTAGAGAATCTATAAGGTCAGCAGAGGAGAAAAGAATCTGTTGAAAATCAGACTCATCTTTAAAGTGTGACTTTGTTATAAACATTCCTTTTAAATTTGATGTAATTCCATGTGTTTATTTGTGCATTTGTTGCCTATTCTTTTGGGGCCCTACCCAAAACATCACTGCCCATACTAATATCATGGAGCTTTCTCTCTCTTTTTTTTAATAGTAGTTTTATAATATCAGTTTTTAAGTTTAAATATTTCATCCCTTTTAAGCTGATGTTGACTTAATACAGTTTTTTTTTAGTATATGGTGTGAGAATAGTGTCTATTTTTATTCTTTTGCATGTAGATATCCAATTGTTCTAACACCATTTATTGTCCCCATACCATTTATTGAAAGGACTGTCCCTTTTCTCACTGTGTGTTCTTGGCATCTTTGTCAAAAATCAATTTACCCTAAATGCATGAATTTATTTCTGGGCTTTCTATAATATTATGTTATAGTAATCTTATATCTGTTTTTTATGCCAGAACCATGCAGTTTTGATTACTATAGCTTTGTAGCATAATTTAAGGTCAGGTATTGTGTTAACTGAAGCTCTGTTCTTTTTGCTCAAGATTGCTTTGGCTGTTCAGGATCTTTTGTGGTTTCGTACAAATGTTAGGATTGTTTTTTCCATTTCTTTGAAGAATGTCATTGGTATTGTGATAAGGATTGTACTGAATCTGTACATAGTTTTGAGAAGTGTATGCATTTTAGTAATATTAACTCTTTCAATTCATGGTCATGATATATCTTTACATTTTTTTGTATTCTCTTCAAATTTTTTTTTATTATGATTATGGTATTTAATGTACATTTTTAAATATTTTAGGTAATTTGTATTATTTTTATAATATTTAACTTTTATTTTAAGTTCAGGGTCACATGTGTAGGTTTGTTATTTAGGTAAACCTGTGTCATGGGGGTTTGTTGTATAGATTATTTTGTCACCCAATATTAAGCCTAGTTCTCATTAGTTATTTTTCCTGATTTTCTCATTCCTCCCACCCTTTACCCTCTGATTGGGTCCAGTGTCTGTTCCTCTCTATGTGTCCATGTGTTCTCATCATTCAGTTTCCACTTAAAAGTGAGAACATTTATTTGGTTTTCTGTTTCTGTGTTAGTTTGTGAGGTATGATATGGCCTCCAGCTCCATCCATGTTTCTGCAAAGGATATGATCTCATTCTTTTTATGGCTGCATAGTATTCCATGGTATTTATGTACCACATTTTCTTTATCCAGTCTATCATTGATGGGCATTTAAGTTAATTCCAAGTCTTTGCTACTTTTCCATTTCTTTCCTCAATATTTAACATTTTTCGTTGTAAAGATCTTTTACCTCTTGGTTAAATTTATTTCTAGGTGTCTTTTTTTTTTTTTTTTTTTATAGCCATTGTAAATGGGATTGTTCACCTGATTTCACTTTTCTGTTGGTGTATAGAAATGCTCCTGAATTTTCCTGTTGATTTTGTATCCTGAAACTTTATTGACTCTAATTTTAACAGTGTTTTTTTGTGGAGTCTTTAGGGTTTTCAATATGTAAGATTGTCCTGTCTGTAAACTGGGATAATTTCATTTCCTCCATTCTAATTTGGATACTCTTTATCTCTTTCTCTTGACTAATTACTGTAAAAATGGTGAAAGTAGGCATCCTTTTCTTTTCCAGATCTTAAAGAGATAGCTTTCAACTTTTTCCAATTTAGTATGATGTCAGCTGTGGATTTGTCACATAAGGACTTTTTTGTGCTGAGGTGATTTTCCTCTATAAATAATCTGTTGAAGGTTTTTATCATAAAATGATGTTGTATTTTATCAGATGGTTTTTCTGCATCTATTGAAATGATCACATGGGTTTTGTCCTTGATATGTGAATGCGGTGTTTTACATTTACAGATTTTCATAAGTTGAACGATCTTTGCATTCCTGGAATGAATCTCACCTGATTATGGTGAATTATCTTATTAATGTGCAAGTTTTTTTTTTTTTTTTTAATTTAACAGAAAAGAAAGAAAAGCTGTTTTGGAGATTCATAGATTTAGACACACCTATATCAACATGTTTATTGTGAGGGCATATAACTCAGCTTGAGACCCTAGTTTTCAAGAGATAAAGGGCAATAAAAACCTATACCTAATAACATTGCCTACAAAAAAAAAAAAAAAAGTTGACCTCCAAATTGGAAAGTCAACCTTTTCTGCTTCTTTTCTCCTTTTTTATCCCACTCTTTATTTTGTATGTGTGTGTGTAGTTCAATAATTATTTGTCTGAATTTGGTATTCTGATGGTTTCAGCAGCATAAAGGCCTAAACTGTAACGTTGGAGAAATTGTATGTGAGGAGGGGTAAGTCTAGGAGCCAAAATACTGTTTATGCAATTTCTGTATTGGGTGATATACATCCTTAGTTCCAAGCACCAAGTGAAAGGTAAAAATTTGATAAACTCCATTTATAATTTGAGAATTATTATAATCTTATAAATATACTTTAAATTCTATCTGTTTTAATTTAGGCAGGGAAACTAATAAGCACATTAATATTACAGGGTATGTGATAAATCTATTTGGTATTCTTTCCTATAAAACATTGGTTTCCAGCCTGAGATCCTCATGGAAATTATATGCCCAGTTATACGTCCACTGAAATTATATGCTCAATTTTGTGAACAGAAGTGTGAGTATAGAAAATGTGCACACAAAAAAGGATTACAAATTTCATGGTCTCCTCTTCTTTACCACCAATCTGCTGATCTAGACTAAATATTTCCTATTTCTTTAAGTTTTCATTTTCTTCTTTTTTAAAAAAATCTTTTATGTATTGTAAAAATGGAAGAGGGATGGATTATTTTATTTGCTTGCGTTGAATACCTTAAGAAGGCACTGGTAAGACCTCTGTAAGAACTATAGCATTTTTTTTCTATTCCCACTTCCCTTCATCTGAGCTTTATGTCTCTGGATGACTTCTACCCCCAACTTTGTCCATCATTTACCTTCTGCCACTTTCCCAACCAATACTTTCTTCAATATCACTTTCTCAAACACCCTATCTTTTCTCTAAATTGCAGCAGCTCTGAGTAATGCAATTTTGCCTTCTGGCTTACTTAGACATCCAGGCCTAAAATTGTATAGAGTATGAGTGTCTCTGTGTGTACGTTTGCATATGTGTGCATGCAAATGTATGCATATGTTATTTCTTCTAAATTCCTCAACTGAAGTTGAAAATTGTATTTTACTTGCACAAAACCTAGATAATTATTTTCATAACCAGTGTCAGTTTGAATCAGCAGAAGACAGTAGATATCCAGAGTGATCTGTTAGTTTTACATCGATTTTGCCAGTTTGATTAAAAAATCTGTTGGTAGCTTGATATTTACAAAATTGAGACCAGCATTTGTGCTTAGTGCTTTCTTCTTACTCACTGAAGGGAAGAATCAAATTGAAGGGATTCTTTATGGTTGCCATCTGAATGAGACATAATATTTAGATAATAAACTGTTCTGATAATTACTGTTATGAGAAAAAAATGTTCGTAAGTAGTTTGTAAAACTTATCTCCTCATTATATATCTAGCATGCAAATAAGCTTTAAGGCAGTAGATTTCCACCACAATTTTGTAATTTTTAAATTCTCTCATTATTCCAGGTATTTTATTTCCTCTTAAGTAGCTCAGTAGTAAAAGCTATCTGTACTGTGCCTTGATAAATCTTCTCGTTAAAAAAATATAGTCTGCATGCATCTCTTCATAGAATAACCAAGGGACAGAAATTTTGAACAAGAAACTTTGACTTGAGGAACAAGTCTAGTGGGAGCATTAATAAAAGCCCTCATTTATTGAGCTTATTTTATGTAATGCTTATTACAACCCTATGAGTAGGATTATTATCATCTGTGTGTTACGTATTATGAGATTGAGTCTAAGAGAGTTTGAATAATTTGTTTTAATTTATGTAGCTAACAGTTGGCAATACCAGGATTCTGGCTCTCACAGAATCATCTCACTGAGGATTTAAGAAATTGAAATAGGTAAAGCAGTGACAGCAGTAGCAACAATGGCAGAGCTCTTTCTGCTCCTCTATCTATAATCCTTTTCACTTCATCCAGATGGCTATACAAGCATCCTTATATTACCTCTCAGTGTTTTGATTTGCATGACAATTGTCAGGTTGACTGAAAGCTTCCAATTTGTCTTGAATATATTCTTCCTCATCATCTCAAAACCACCTTTATAAACATTCAACTCTAATCCCAACTTCAGGACTCTCTCCTGTTCCAAAGTCTTTCCTAAGGTTTTCTTTATTAGGTTAACCTTCTCCTTCAAAGGAGGGTCTCCTTCCTTCCTTTGGTGGCCTGAGCTAACCATCCCTGTCTAAAGAAATGGTATAGGGCTTATAAACTGTGTTCTGAAACCAGGAAACCATGTACTTCCTTT